CACCCCCACCCCGCCTCCTCTAAGGTTCTCTGTGGCTGTATTTTTTGCTCTTTTTATATTTTTCATAATCTCTGAGAACTCATGCAAGAGCACCTTGATGAGGCAAGGATTCTGGCGACAGCCTGATAAAGCTGCAGTTTCCACAGCTGCTCATGCAATACAGGTATTCCTTTTTTAGCAACTGCCTCATTTATCAGCCATTGCAATTATGACAGTGATGAAAAAGTCACTTTATGACCAACCCTTGCATTTATGACCTTTGCAGATCTGTAAAGCAAAGGAAAGCTGAAGCAAGATCATAAGTACAGTCACAGTTTCACTTAGAGACCACTTTGCTTAACAACCAAGTTGCCGGTCCCAGTTGTGGTTGCTAAACAAGGACTATCTGTACCCTATAATGTCTTATGCACTTCTTGGTCAGGGGTGGGCATCATTTTGTCCATTCCATCTTGACTTTGGTGACACCAAGTGCCAGGTTGATGACTGACACACATGTAAAAACAACAATTGTGTGATTCTGGATGTCCACTCTACCCCATGTTTTCTATGGTTACTGTTCACTGGTTACTTCTGGATGCTGCTGGCCAGAAGGTCAGAACTGGACCTGTTGGTCATTTGCTGTTAGCACAACAGGATGGCTCCTTCCTGTGTCATCCACCCTCCTCCTCCACTGCACGCATTACCTGTCTACTGGGCTACTTCTACACACAGATTAGGTGCAGTTTTCCAACAGCTGTATACCTAGGTTCAGAAATAGCCCAGCTCATAGGTCATGGTTACAAAGAAGGCGGTGTGAGGAACATTGGAAGAGCTTCCTCCCACTTCTCCCTGCATCTTCTGCTCGGGACCCTAAACCCACCTTGCTAAAGGTCTGTCTAACCCAGTGTTTCTCAAACTTGGCAACTTTAAGACGCGTAGAGTTCAACTCCCAGAATTCCCCAGCCAGCATGTCAGGTTTGAGAAACCCTGGTCTAACCCTTGGTATGGAGTGGGATTGGTGGTGGTGTTCCTGCCACCCCCTTTCCTTAACTTGATCTACCAAAACTAAATCAAGCAACACTATTTGTTAGTCTTGTTACTAGGGCAATAGAGCAGTGGGAATAACAGCCAGTTATGCCAGTACCTTATTCTGCAGACTCAGGCAGAGTAACTCAGCGGTAAGAAAGGGCCCTTGGTTATCGGGTCATGCAGGGCCAGATCCTACTTCTCAAGCTAATTTACCTCACTTGATTGTTGCGGTGGTAAAAATCGGGCTGATTTCTACAGTTGACACCTAGACTACTGTCTAAGAAGCAATTTTACATATCATGAATGCATTTTTTTCACTTATGACAACTACGTGGAGGTTCTAGTGATTAAATGCATCCCAAATGCTTGCTTAAATTTAAAGAGTCCTCTATCCATTTTTTTCCTTTGTTAAATGTGTGGCTCCTAACCGCACTGGTATTGTGGCAACAGTAATGTTATTGAAAGAAAGTGGGCTATGAAACTGTGGAGAGATGGAATTCTCTTCTGCTATGCTTCTATGGCAAAATTACAAACAAGTATAACAAAAAGAAGCTACTGTGAGTCAACCTTTTTCCAAGTGCGCAATGTCTTCTCCAAAGTTCCTTTATCAAGTGGGAAAGCCTTGAGTTTAACCCAGATTTAATCATGGCTTACAGCATATTCATTAATTTCATAAAACTTCAGGTAACTGACTTGTCATTTCGACTTAGACAGACCTACTCTAAGCATAGCTCAATCTGCAGGGAACTCATTACAGCTATTTTTAAAGGAAAGTATATCTATATTAACGGGATGAAGAAAGCAAATAGCAACTATTAAGCAATGTTACTTCAAACATTTCCTGCCCTCCAACACAAAATTAATTTTTGATCCCTCCAGAAAGAAAGAATCCAACTCAAAATGTCTGCAGCATTTTAGAAACAGAACATGGCATAGGAAATATGCTACTATACTTACACATAGGTTTGCTTTCTTTTCCAAAAAGATGTGCGTCCATAGATACTTGAGGCGTTGAAATGTATCACAGTCTATGGATCTTTGCAGTTGGATCTTTGCAACTGGGGGTTGTGAAATCTTAGAATTTCCCAGGTTGGGTTCCCTCTACCCTTTCCTGATGAACTGTTCCCAGGTCTTCTTCCCACCCCCACCAATTTTTATTCCATTCACAAATATAAATGCTTTGAAGAAAACCCAGTGGAGTTCGAGCAAATGGATCACCAACTCCTTACAAGAAATACCGGCGTGCTAGATAACCACTGCATAAAATGGAAGAGCACAGATCCTACCTTTACCATTTCTCTCCTGGCTTCAGATGCATTCTTGAAGTCCTCAGTAAGACCAAAAGTTTGTTGCTACCGTACTTCCTCCTCCTCTACTTATTATAGAATGCAAAACTGCAACTCCTGAAGGCTTTTGATGTGTGGCTGAAAGAGCAGACGAAGAAGCACTGATGTTAAAACTGTCAGAGCGAGACACTCACGAACCTCTCACAGTAGCTGCATGGCAGATGTACTTTTTCCAGGGGGCAATGTGCGCCTTGTGATTAATACTGGGGGATGACCATTTTCAGAAAGCAGTGTGAGGCAGAGCACACCCAAGGTTTACAGTTCTGCTCCTGCGGCGTGTCTGAGGTGGAACGTGGTTGATTCTATATATAGGCCACTGTTTTCCTATTTGCTGGTGATCTCATATAGGGGGAGAGCAATGGGTCCCTGACTGATGCGGTGCATAAGCCACAAAGATGGGCCAATTCATGTCAGAGCACCTTTTTAGAATCACCCCTGAATAGCATCTGGGAAGCCCTTAGGTTCAACCTTCTGACCAAGAGCTGACCTCAAGTCTTCTTCTCACTTTTACTAGAATAAACAATGTGGGGATATATTCACCTCAACCTAATATGCTTGGGGAAAAGAAAGAAAGCGGGAAACCTCTACCATACTGGGAGGCAGCTGAGCGATTAAAGTCTTCCTTAATGGCTGGATTTGCACAGAATGCTAGGCGATGGTAAAATGGGATTGCATCATTTGTGGCTCAAGTATAATACGGCTTATTTGTCCCTGCACCCCATCACCCCATACTATGTGAACCCAGAAAATGGGCTTTGGGAACCTAAGTTTACAGTTTAACTTGGTACTGTATGTGCATTTTGCCACTAAGCTGAAGGTGTTCTCCTGTCCTTTTAGGATCTTATTTTTTTTTTAAAAAAACCCCATCACACCAAATATTCTTGTGCCTCAGTTCTCTCTCTGATGGTCTGATAGTAATACCTCACTGTTTAATATTTATCATTCCGATTAAAGGTTTTGTTTTATTTTTGTCTCTTCCACTTGATAGACTTCATTACTTTATGTCATGTTCATTTATTTACTTTATAGGAAAACGTTAGGTGCTGCTCTGTGTGGCTTACAAAATGCCGTGTGTGTGTGTCTGTGTATGTGTGTGCAGTATGTGTGGTGTACACCTCCAGAAAGAGAAAACTTACAGAGAGCACTAACGTATTCAAATGTTATGCAAATCAACCCTGTGCTGGGTTGTGGGTAATCCTTGCTTTGCTTCTTAGAAGTGCATCGGTGTCCAGCTTCTCGATACAGCAATTCTTTTACTGTAAGCTGCACGTTCTAAATCTATTTTAAAAAGTCAATTCCAGGGAAAAGGTCAAGACTTTATTGCTTTGAGATGGACTCAGAGGCCCTCTAGATGCTCAGCTAGCTGACCCTGCTAGGGCTTTTCTTCATTCTTTGTGGCTGGTGCCTGGTGATTACTTAATGCATCTTAATTAGGATCCTCAGACTGAAAGCAGCTTGGGCTTTTAACATGCTTGATGATGAGACTTCTTTCTATCCGCTTGCAAAAGGTGTCCTTGCAACCATGAAATGCTCAAAGGCTGGTTTTGTTCCTCCTCTCTAAATTGTCTCATATCAGGGCTGGGCAATTCCCCAGCCTGTAGGCCAACAGGGGCCTTGGATTTAACACTGTGGAAATTCAGGGGCAAAACGAAGTTGGGTGGCTCACTTTAACAACAGATGCCAACAACTTAAGCAATAAAAGAGGTGCACTCATTGATTTCTCTGCAGTCTTGCAACCACTAAACGTGTAAAAAGGAAGGAATTGAAGACCTGGCTCTGCCAACTCACGTGGGGTGAAAAGAGAGGCAACCAACTCTGGGGATGGCTGGCGCCTTGAAGATGCTCTCTGAGTCTAATAACTCCTAATTAACATCAGTCTCTTGGAAGCATTATATAGGAATCTTGTTGTAGTGTATTTTAATTAATTTTTATTCTATTTTAATTAATATTTATTCTTTTTTACTGTAAACTACCCAGAGTCGCTCTGCAGTGAGATGGGCGGTGACAAATTTGAAATATAAATAAAAAATAAATTAATTAAAAAGAACAGAAAACGATGTCACCGTGTCACAAGTCATTCTGTCCCTGTGAAGCCAGGGGGAAAAAGGTAGGACCCCCAGAAGAATAACATTTCTCAGCTCTAGTTTAATCATTGAGGGTATGGATTCTCCACTATAAGCCCCCCTGGGATGGATTTGCCACAAAGTCTTGCATTTTTGCCCCAATAAATGCATGTATATGTGGGCATTGTCTGAGGTAGTAGCTACAGGCAGTTTCAGGAAGGTATCTGGCTAAAACAGATCCCTTGCAATTTTGCAGTTGTTGTGAGTTAGTTGTTGCCTAATACACAAGCATCCTGTTAGTCAAGTTGAACTTCCTCTCCTTCAACCTGATGTAGGTGATAATGTTGTGAGTTGTAGTCCCAACATATCTGGAAGGCACAAAATTTACAAAATTCAGGTGAATTAAAAAAAACCCAAAACTTACCTCTCCTTGTTAGCCCAATGCAGTACATGTCATTATTGCTACCATCCTGGTAGTAGCGTGGCAGGATATATCCACTTGCTATGATGCAGTGAATGAAGAGGAGACTCTTAGGGAAAAAAAGAAATGGGCACCCTGCCTCAGCACCAGAAACATGGCTGAATACCAGGAATTCAACACCAGACTCCGAAGAAATGAAAATCCTCCGCCTTGACTGATGAATCTGCTAGTTTCACTCTCTCCCACGCATTGAAATCTCAAGCTTTTTTGCTCCCATTCATGAAAGAATTTGCAAAGGTTACCCAGTTCTGATCAAAGAGTAAGGACAATGACATGCTCGTCCATCTCTAACTCCAAAACATACTTCTGGGGATGGCTATAGTTCAGCTGTAGAACATCTGTTTCCATGCAGAAGGCCACAGCTTCAGAACTGCCACTTAAAGGATCAGAAAACAGAGATGGGGACTTGGAATGCTCTCAGTCATTGTTGACCCAAGAATTTATGTAAAGTTTGCATGGAGCCCTCCAAAGTCTTGGGGGTGCAATTCTCCAGGGCCATGCCCAAAGTTGCTGCCAAATTGAATCTTTTTATATGACCAACAGGGAAATGATTTAGGAGAAATCATATTCATTTGTTTAAATAATTATTTTAAACTCAAGTAGAATTGTAATTTCATTTTAAAAACTGAAATGCAAGCAGACATTAAATTATGTTGAAGCTTTTGTTCCAGCACTGCCCATTATTTGGATTCGGTCTCATAGCATGTCTCTCAAGGAACAAGTATTGCCTTCCTTCAAAACAAATAGTAGACAAGCTAAAATAGGTTCACAAGTAACTTATTCTTTGTTAGATTTCTATCCCGTTTTTTATTCAAGAGCTCAATTTCTTGCCTTGCTTCTCATAAATACAGTATTACATCAGAGCAAAAGAGCCAATTAACCTCTAGTGCCTAAAAGATCTTATCCAGCCCTATATATCTAGGTCAGGATCAACCTTCTCTACAACCAAACGTTGCTTCTAGGCATGTCTGGGTTGGAACTGTGGAACTAGGGAGCAACATTTCCAAGATGTCACGTGATGCTTTTATTGATTCCTGAGACTCAAAGCAGAGATGGTGAGAATAAGATATTAAGCATTCACATTAAAAGGAATTTTGTTTGCATTCCAGATGGCCCCAATCCTGTTAGCCTTTTGCAAGGTGTTGAAAACTTCGCTGTTTCTCCATGAGTTTGGGTTAGGAGGTGTCAGCATTCCCAGGTAGACCAGGCAGGAAACACAATCAAATGTGCCAATGCTACTTTATTGTAAGGCTACATTAACAGAAACTTGCAAGTCTGAAAGTACAAATCTCCCACCCTCTCCTTTATAGTGTGATAAGTTAGGGAGGGTCCCGTCTGACCCTCTTTTTCCTTCCATTATGCAGCTGTGGGCTATGCTGCCTCTTATCTGACCATTCCCTAGGTAGCATCTCTTCCCCCCTGTCTCCCAAGGACATTCCCACATACCATTACAAGAGGTTAGGGAGGCTCTGCTGCTGTTGCTGTATTTGTGCACGTGTGAGGTTGGAATCATTGCTTTATCCTCGGGTGCCACGGGTTGTATGCTGTGGTCTGTATATTTTAATTCTTGTATGCCGCCCAGAATCACTGTTGTGAGATGGGTGGCTGTAGAAATCATTTCAATAAATAAGTTCATGAATGCATTTGGTTTCTCTTAAAATGAAGAGCACCGTGGCAGACTTAACATTAGCTGCTTTTACTGTGGCAATGATAAATGAAAATACATGATCAAAAAAAAAAAAAAAGACGAATGCATTTGTCATCCTGTTTTGCTTTACATGGTTTCTCTTAGATGGAGGCCTTCATTGAACCTCCCAAAACATTAGCATTTGGTTGATCAGTGGGACTAACCCAAGCACATCCTTCTCTTCCTAACATCACATCAGGCACAGATCTGTAGTTTTGCTGGATGGAAGAGTCTGCAGCCCCCAAGGCACTTTTCATCAGAATGGATTTCAATAAAACTTTGTAGAAAATATAGGTAGCATAACAGCTCAGATGATGGCTGGCTTCACCCATTGCATCCAAATGTGATCTGTTTTGCTTTGGGCTTAATGTGTTGGATAAATCCATAGACTGTAGTTTGTAAACCATGGATATTATACATTATGCAAGCCCAACCAACTGCAGTTTATTCAATAAACCATGGCTCAAAAAAACCACTATTGCTTAGCATGATATGAGGGCCATCTAGGAGTGCTGGATCAATCTTGTTCAGATAAAATATTGCATGTTAAGGTTGTATGAAAATGTAACATTCATGCATCCTACTGTCAGACTTCTCAGACCATGTTTTGGCAGTAAATCTCCAATCCCCTGCTTCTTACGGCTCAATTTTTCTGCTAATATGGCACACAGCTAAATTTTCTCAGCATTTAACAGGAGACATCTCTTGTTTAAACAGTGATGGATCATACTACTTGCAGTAGAACCCAAGACCTGAAACTGTGTTTCGCAAAGAACAAAATACATGATTTTCAAGATATGTGATTCTCCTCTACAGCAGCAACGGGCAACCATTACAGGCCTCATCCAACCACACTGGAGTATTGGTGTGACCTCGGAAGCTACATAAAACATCGGCAGTGGTGCTGATGGCTGGGGGATTTCCATAGTAAACAGTCTGTCAGCAAATTTTGTTAAGAAACTGCTTGGAAACAATCTTCTATATAAAGTTAAAAGCTAGCAAAAAGAAGTTGCTATATGAAAAATTACCTGGAATGGTATGAATGTGAGACTTAGGGGTGAACTTTTGAGTTAAACTTAATAACATGCTGGAAGTGATCCATGCAGTGTGTAGACAATATCCTACATAAGATTAGAAATGTAACAGATTTTATTCCAAAGAAACTGATAAACACCTCCACTTGCCATTGTTGTTGTTGTTTAGTCGTTAAGTCGTGTCCGACTCTTCGTGACCCCATGAACCATATTGCGCCAGGCCTTCCTGTCCTTCACTGCCTCCCTTACTTCACTTACTTCACTTGCTTCACTTGCCATTAACTATCATCAATGAAAAACTGACACCCAGTTGGCTTGTAGCTGGATTCCATATACATGCCGAGCAAGGTAAGGTGCAGAGCTTCAACCAATAGTTGTGGTCACCATCTTGACTCTTGACTAACCCCGTGGGAAATTTTGATGTGACATGTGAAGCGGGAGAAGGATATGTGTCAGAACTGCATCAACCAACAATTGTTAATTCACAAAGCATAGCAGTCAATCGGAGTTGATTGACATATGGGCAATGAGGCTGGACCTGATTGTAGGCAAGGCCAGTGGGGGGCCTGATGGCCGGGAAGGAGCTATGGATCCGTGGAAGGAAGGAAAGAGGCACCACCAGGTGAAAAGGAATTGAGGTGCCAGGGCAACAAGGGGAGGGGGGATAAATAGAGGGAAGTTTACCCAGGCTTTAGTTTTAGCAATGTTTTGTTT